TTGACTTTTTCTTACAATCCAAGGTGCCATGATGATCAGATGAACTTCAAATAAATGATCTTTTATTTTTCTTTGCTTAAAATTGAGAATTGCTTAAGAAACTTGATAAATAAGGCATGCAAATAAACACACGAACCTATCTTGAAATGACTTATAAACCAAGCAACAATCTTGAACTTCTTTTGATAAAATGATGTTAAATGAAGCTTATGAAAAGTGTGACCTAATATTAGAGGTCATGCCTTGAAATTTTAGCCTTTGGGAAACATTGGTTGACCTTTCTTTAACTTGAGAGATCCAAACCCTAATTTAGAAACCAGACTTGATCTTTTGATTCAAAGTCCTACCTTGCAAAACAAGAAAAGGTAACAAATCATTTTTTTTAATAAGGTTAGTAAAGCATAAATGCAAAAAAGGAAACATAAAGCAATAAGATACAAAGGGTGCTTGATGATCTCCCATATAACACACTCTAAGGCAAAAGGTTAGGAGGCTACGATGCTTGTGACTTTGATAAAATGTAAATGATGATAAGTGGGATCTTAGGGGTAAAAATCAGGGTATAACACTGGTTACACAATGGGCGTGTGACCGTTGATATAAATTAGAGAGTGTGTCACTTATAACTATGGTTTGTGAAAACAACCATTGTGATACAATTGAATGGTTCTGGGTTCGAATCCAAGAAACGTCATTCTTGGATTCTATTATTCTGGTTAACGTTGTCTTTATTAACAACGGTTGATTTAACAACCGTTTTGATATAATTTATGCTTTTTTATAATATTTTTTAAATTTTATAGAATTCCCAGTTTTGCAACCTGAATATTTCTGATATGTATCATACCAGAAACATCAATGCACAATTTGTATCATACTAGAAACAACAATACACCCAGATACAAAAATTATATTACAGACTATTTCCATTACGAACTAAACCTTGTATAGTACATAAAAACCAAAATTGAGACAAAACAACCTATAATGTACACATCATTACATAAAATTATACTATCTTGTTGTCATGGGGTTTTGTCTATTGGTGTCTTCACTTTAAACACCTATAATTTTAAAATAATAATAGTTGTTAGAAATTAAATAACATCATTGGAAATTAAAACAAACAGTAAATTATGAATGAAGAATATAAAATACATGTAAATTTCCCATTTTCCTTCTTGATGATCGTTACAAATAACATGCATATAATCTCTATCAACTTCTTCATATAAATTAGGAACTTATGTTATGTAAGAAGGAGTGGCAACAATACCAAAACTTTCATCACCACTATGGGGAATGTGTTTTACTTTGAGAATAATTGGCCATCTCCCTGATAAGTTTGTAGGGTCTTTCACATAAAAAACTTGTCTCGCCTGAGTAGCCACGATGAATGGTTCGGTCTTATAAGTTGCCTTGTCAAGGTTAACCTGTGTAAATACTAACTCATCAATTTGTACATCATTGTTATTAGGGATCCAATTGTATTTAAATAAATTCATTTTGAAAGTAACATAATCAATCTCAAAAATCTCCTCAATGACGCCATAGAACACAATGGTTGCCAAAATAGGATTTTTTTAATTTTCGCACTAGAGGAAAATACATCTCCATTTCACACAATTTTATTGCAAGAAAATTCATCTCCAATTGACACAATATTATTGCAGCCTCTTCTTCTAATTCATCTAATTTTTTGGAATCAAGAACTTTTTTACATATAGCATTGAAGAATAAGCACAACTTAGTTATAGTTACTCTTACATTTTTTGGAAGGATGCCACGGATAGCCACTGGTATAAATTATTGCATCAAGACATGGCAATCATGAGATTTTAAGTCAATTAACTTGAGATCTTTCATTAATACAAGTTTCCTGATGATTAAAGAGTAACCTTGGGGAACTTTGATACCTTGTAAACACTCGCAAAAAAATTTCTTTTCCTTTTTAGATAGAGTGTGAAATGCCAGAGGTAAATAAGATCTTTTCCTTTATCTTATGGAGTCAACTGTTGTCTAATACCCATCACCACCATATCTTAACGAGCACTCTTACTATCTTTAGTATTTCCTAGAATGTTTATAAGTGTTCCTATCAAACTGTCACATACATTTTTCTCCACATGCATCACATCAAGGCAATGCCTTATATCAAGACTAGACCAGTATGGAAGCTCAAAGAAAATTGATCTCTTTTTCCAAATATTTCTCTCAATGGGACCATCTTCTTTCCAAATACAACATTAAGGTGTTCTTTTCGTTGATAAACTTTATCTCTGGTTAAAGGTTTAGGAGCACATTCGTACTTCTGCTCTCCCTTAAAATCCTTCTGCAATCTATGATAGGGATGATTGGGTTTTAGAAATTTCTGATACCCAAGGTAAACGGTCTTTTTTCTAAACTAAAGTTGGTGAAAACATGTATCAGTTTCACATATAGGACACACTTTTTGTCCTTTAACATTGTATCCAACCAAATTTTCATATGCAGAAAACTCGTTGATTGTGAAAAATAACATTACACGCATCTTAAACTTATCACCGGAATATGCATCATTAAAGTAAACACTTATATCCTACAAATATACTTGCACTTTATGCTCAGTCAATGAGATAGGTTGTAAAGCATGAGAAGGACAGACCACAGAGAATATTTAGTACTCATATTACCAAAGGGGTTCATTCCATTTGTGGCATGCCCAAGCCGAAGGTTTCTTTCCTCAAGGCCAAAATCTAGAAACAATGAATAAATTTTCTTCCATTGTAGAGAATCAACTACATGGAAAAAATTTTCATCACATTTTCTTTCGTCTGCCTACCATCTTATATTCTTTGCTTCATTTACATTATCAAAAAGTCTCTTGAATCTTGAAATTATTGGCAATTACCATAACACTTTAACGGGAAGACGCTTCTTACTAACATTGTCATTGTCATCACCATTCTTGTTCTTCAACTTGTAGCGCGACTCACCATATTCAGAACATTGATCTAAATTTTCATACTCTTTCTTGTATAATATGCAATCATTTAGGCATGCATGTATTTTGGCATACTTCAAACCCATTGGACATGATATCTTCTTGGCCTCATAACAATGATCCAATAAATTGTTATCTTCTGGTAGCATTTATTTCAACAAATCAAGCAATTATGTGAAACTTTTATCCGACCACCCACTTTTTGACTTCATATTAAACAATTTTAACAAGGCAAACAACCGTGTAAAACTGGTGCACCTCTTATATAAAAGTGCATCTTTAGCGCTGCATAGATTATCATAAATTTGGGCTTTTATATAAGACGATTCTCCCATATCACGGGTCATATCTTCTAGTCGATCATTCATATCTTCATCATCTTCAACCATTTGTGACGTCACATTCAGATTATTATCCACTTCTTCATGCCACGTCCATATTGTATAATTTTGACATATTCCATCACAACATAGGTGTTAGAATATTTCTTTATTCGAGAGTTTGTTGATATTACCGCAAACAACACAAGGACAATAAAAGATAATGTTATTGTCGGGAACATTTTTTCGGCGAACTCAATGAATTCAAGAACTCATTTCTCATACACCAGACCTAATTTATTTGTTTCATCTAACTACGATCCATAACAAATTTTGAAATTTATATAAAAAGACTATTGTGAACGTCACACTAATACTACACAAAAACCTAAAGCATATTCAGTAATTCTGAAGAAAACATTAAGGTGAACTAGTATGAACAATACACACCGAACAATAAACATTTAAATTTTGAAGAACATAAACAGAGACCATTGATTCATGAAAGAAACCAGTAACCATTGACTTACAAAATTGCGACAAACTTAAACATTCAGAAGCGTCGGGGAGAGAGAGAGAGAGAGAGAGAGAGAGAGAGAGAGAGAGAGAGAGAGAGGTAACGTACCACATATTCGAAGAGGATGATAAAGATTTTGCTATCGCTGCCATCTCATTCGCTATGGCACCCTGTGTGTCATGAAAGGAATAAAGTACCTGTTATGTTTTAATTTTGTGGAAAACAATTTCACAACGGTTACAAGATTCAATCGTAGTGAAATATGGAACTTTTATTGTTATACTTTTAATTTTCAAATAAAAATAAATGTTAAGAAAGACACGCTTAATTTTATTGAAAATGGAAAAATATTGAGGCTGAGATTCGAAGTTTATCACCTGAATTATATACAATGATTCTTTAATGGAACCGTGATGAAAAATTTCTTAATAAAATTTTAAAAAAAATATGCGTGAAAAATGAGATATGACTACGGTGGATAAATGAGCATGGTAATATTGTAGTACCGAAGATGTTTTCCGTAGTAGTGCGTCAAGATCAATCCAACGACTGACCACATCACATGTCATTTCACACGTGTACAGGTATGAACCATCTCCCCTATTTAAAGAGGAAAGTGTATCACTTTAAATATATTAAAATTATTTCTCATTCAAACACCACTTTTTGACCTCATACTTACATGAATGTTAGAGTGTTAACCTTGTCGGTCAACTTCTTTTTCACCAAATCAAAAACACTGGACCACCTTAATCGATTGTGAATTCATTCATTATTATCAACTTTAATTCTAACACAGAAGATATAGTAAATTGAAGGTGTGCACAACCCGTTGCATAATGTGTAGTTATGACAATTTAATTAGATTGGTATGATAGTATATTTTTAATATTATTTGGGATTGATGGCAAGATGTTAGAGGCCAAAGAGAAATTACAACTACTTTAGAGCTAGCTCAACTCATAAGAATGAAATACATCTAAACAAAAATAATTGCTAAAATCTCTTCATTAATGAGTTATTGTATAAATAGAAAAATTGATCACATTTAGGTAAATTACAAATATAAGTAAGAAAAATGGGAAAGACAAAATGATCAATGTTAGAAAATTACAAAGTAAAAAAAGAAAAATTATCATTGTGATACAATGTAATACCCAAATTCACCATTAGTATGAGGCTACACCCGATTATAAGCAAATGATTTGCTGAAGAGACGACGAATGTATACAACTTGCAATACACTTGTAGTCACAAATAAAATATACTCCAAGAGTGTGTAAAATACAACACGTTTTCTGGTGCTCTCATTTGCTACAATTACCAAAATTTAATACATCAAAGTTAGAAGAAATTTATCACCCACCAAAGATGCATGGTTTGATAAATACACAATAAATCCATTCACTGGTAAGAAAGAATAACTTACTATGTCGATGTCTAGCATCACGTGCTTTCAAGTACTTTTGTTCTGTTACAATAGATTCTAATGCTTCTCTTAACTCAGCAATCTTCACATTTATTGGATCCAAATGCTCTAAACACAAAAGCAAAAATGATTAAATGTAAAACTACAAGGGTGTAGTAGAATATTAGTTGAGAAATTAAATGAATCATATATCCATGTGATACTATGAATAAATCCAAGAAAATGACACTGACATGTTGTTAATTGAATGTAATCACATGGGTGAGTATCGCATCAAACACAAAGACAAATTAGATCAGAGGTTCTGTGCTACAGAACTATTTATACATACTTAAATAAATTCACGTCTAATTATAATGACAAAAATCATTAATTTATTACCATCTTTAGCTAAGTCATGCTCATTTGGAATGTGGCCAACATGAACATAAAATGACACAGTTTCTGGCGTAGAAACCGGATTATTAAAGCAAAACTTGTACATTCCACTTTGCGCCGCTTTGAACTCGAATTTATTTCCCGATGTCCCCTTCAAAGAATGTACCACATTTCCTGCGGGAGATGTCACCTATAGATCACACATTCATCAATAAAAATAAATAAAACAAATTTTACATCATTTCAAATGATTTGGCCGAAAAGAATAAAAAATAATTTACAGTGAAATCGATTCCAGGATGATCTGAGCTCCAAAAAATATCATGATCCATTACAACAAAGTTTCCAGAAACAAGGTCATTGTCATGTGGAACATGTTCGGATATACATTCGACATCGTTTAAACTGATCGAAAGAGAAAATGCATGAGAAATTAGGGTACCGAAGAAAATGATCAAGATTGTACAAAATTTTGAATGAAAATTCATTTCTAACTAGTTTGTTAAGATTATTTTGGATCTCTCTTTTGTAAGAACGAGAATAATTATTGGTCAAGTGAGAACTTTTAATGGCTTGAAATCTGGTTGGTTAGTTTAACAAGTCGTTACTAGCATCTAAAGTCACGGTTTATAATAGTTATGTTGTTGGAGGAGAAAATTAGTTTAATAAATCAAATCAAAAAGAGAAAAGAAAGACAAAAATTAAAATTTTGTAACTTCCATATATAATTATTTTCAATAAAAGTGATTAATTATAGATGTAATGTAATATAATCATGCTTAAGTTTGCTTTTCCTCTCACATTGGTTAATTTAATTTACCAATTTGTTCCCCTCATTTTTAAATTTGAAAATATAGTTTCTTAATTTTTAATTTTTAAAGTTTTTTTGAATTGACAAATTGATGGCAATGCATATTTTAAGAGAAATAAGATCTTTTGGAGTTTCATATTTTTTTCATTTTAAGTTTTAATTTTTAGCTACATTTTTCTCATTTTAAGATTTATAAAATTTTTTTCCGAATGGTATCCAAGAGCTAGCACCGAGATGCATGTTTTTGCATATGATATAATCAATATTTGAAGAGTCGAAGGAGAATTTAAATGAGAGGTTGAAGATTTGAAGACGAGATTAAGAAATGCATGGTTTTCACCTAAGTTGATGTAAGACGGAGTATATGAAATATAAGTTCAACAAAATAATAAGCTTTCTAACTTAGAGGCGAAAGTTGGAGAACATATCATCTCAAGTCACACAGTTTGAGTATTTTGAGTTCGTAGTACAAAATTATGGAGAAATAGAAGGAAATATAAACCATTGAATTCAAGTTGAGTGATTGCAATAGAGAAGGGGTTTAGGGATTTTATGTTATGTAAAGGTACTCCTCAAGTCGAAGGAGAAATTTTATCGGATTGCGGTAAGACTTGTGATGTTGTACGAGACATAATGTTGAGCGGTTAAGAATTAACACGATAATAAATTAAGTATGATAGAGATGAGGATGTTACATTAGATGTATGGTAAGACTAGACGTGATAAAATTAGAAATAAAAATATTAAAAAGAATATTCGGGTAGCACTTATATTAGATAAAATTATGGAGAATAGACTTAAGGGGTTTGGGCATGTAGAGAAAAAATACATAGATTTTATGGTAAGAAGAGTGGATCAGATGAAGAGAAGTCAAACAGTTAGAGGAAGAGAAAGACAAATAAAAATTATAAGAGAAATTATTAAGAAATATCTTGAGAATAGTAATTTGAATAGAAGTACAATCTTAAATAAAATATTATAGTGAAGGTTGATCCACGTAGTCGACTCACTAAGTAGGATAGAACTTAATTGTTGTTGCTCTTGGACATAATTACACCAAAGGTCCTTTAAATTACTTTTTTATAACAGGTTGACCCTTAAAAAAATTGTAATAAGTTGGTCCTTTAAATTAACAAACGTGTGCACCATTACCCTTTTTAAATCTTTGATTAAACTAATCACCTAAAATACATAAAGTTGCACCTAAATGCATAATGTAGCATCTAAAATACATAAAGTAGCCTTCAAAATGCATAAAGTAAGACCCTGATTCAACACGTTTGTTAACTTAAAGGACCAAATTATTAAAAACAAAAACTTAAAAAGATCAATATGTTAAAAAAATAACTTAAAGAACTCTTGGTGTAATTTTGCCTAGTTCTTGAGAGACTGTATTTTTTATTTATAATTGAAGTAACTAAAGTTATTAATTTGAAAAAAAAAACATTAAAAAAGGTTCGTTTAAGACAAATTAATATGTATTTAGTTTGTAAATCATCTTATAACATTTATTTGCAAATTGAGTTGATACAAGTGGCATCCGAGAATTTTTTTTTGTAGTTGTGTGTAGTTCAAAATAAACTCAAACTTGTATAAATAGAGATCATGTATCAATAGACCATCGGATGAAATAGCATAAAATCATATATCAATATCCTCAGATGAAATAGCAGAGACTAGTCGTGGGATATTGTGGATATATACAAATTGGTGCAGGCACTTATCAGGTAAGTGTCTAGCCACTAAGGTCTCCTATTGAAAATAACCCAAAAAAGATAAGTGTGATTAAAATGTAGCATATAGCATGTATACCCTAGCGGCTGCCTCATACATAAACTGATGCACCAGCTCCACATACATATATCGGAGTCAAGATAGACGAAAATGAACACCTATGTACGTTAAACCCAAACTCCTCTAACACCTACACCTCAATAACCCTCGAGTCCTATATAACATTAATACATGCTAGTTGTTGGCTAATGAGATGAGCGGTGAAGAAACTATCTGGCAGAGGAAGATAGAATAAAGAGGAGACATCATTCAAGGTAATCTTCATCTTGCCAAACAGAAGATGTTAGGAAGATGTCTTCTTATGCCATCACTTAACAAAAATTGTCAATATCTTTAACCATTGAACATTGTCAGAGAACAGTATGCCAATGTAAGGAGACCGAAATATTCAACAATCTCCATAACCTCCTAAGGCACCGGGGCATCTAAGAACACCTTTAGCTTTCCCCCGTGGATGGGCACCTTCAGTGGCGGTCGGTCCTGTAACAAACAAAGTAAAAAAAACATCAGTTAATTTCATTGTATTAATTATAAATAAAACAAGTTCAACATATATACATATATATAAGTTCAACATATATATATATATATATATATATATATATATATATATATATATATATATATATATATATATATATATATATATATATATATCCCTGCGATAATTTTAATGCCACATGATTAACATATCTAGTGAGTACGGAACGGTCATTGAACCCTCTACGAAACCTTTTGTTAGTGTGTACAGACACCTCTATCAAAGCCGGAGTTATGAACTATATATCAACCGGAGGAGTAACCTCCATATCACCCATAGCAGGCGCCTATGTATCCTCCTAAGGAGTAACCTCTATATCAGTCGAAGCCTCTGTCTCAAAATAATGGGACACCTCTGTCATGGCTACCATCTACCTATAGTAATGCCCGTTAATTTATTTGATTATTTAATTAAATTATTTTTGGATTATTTGTTGAAGTTGTGAGATGTTGAGAATTATTGGTATAAGTTGCTAGATTATTATTAGTTAATTAATTAGTTGATTAATAATAATAGTAATGTTGGAATTAATAGAATATTCGCGTAGGCCTATTTTATATGGTGGTATGTAGTACTAAGGGGGTGTGAGAATTAGGCCCAATAGAAATAATATTATTATTATTAAGTTTAGTTATAATAATAGAAAAATAGGTTTTTGTCAAGAAGAAGAGGAATAAGAGTTGGAAGAGAGAAAGAGAACGTATAAGTTGCAGAGCAAAGAAGAAAAGAGGCAAAGCAAGATTCGATCAGAAAATCATAGAGCGACCTTCAATCCAAGGTAAGGGTGGAGTTCTGACTCTATAATTGGGTATATGATACATATTACATGGGAATTGGGTTGTGTGAGATTGTTACTGTATGTGATGGTTGTATGAATAAATTGTTGTTTGGCATATGTGATAATTATACTAATATTACAGTGATTCAATTGATGAATTGATTGTTAAAAATTGTTATATATTGATGTGTGTTGTACCCCAAAATTTGCCCTCGCATTTTTCCACAAAAGATAACAACTTCAAGCATTTCCTGATTTTTCAAACTGGCTCAAGAATCGGACAAACGGACTTTTCTTGTCAGTCAAACAAAAGATAGGGTTTTGCTGGTTTTCATGGCTCCAAAACAGTTCACAAGTTGGCTCAGGGTTTTGGTTGGTTTTGGCTCAATTTTGATCAAGCGAACGTTATTTGGCATTTAATCAGGAATTAAGGTTTTATGGGCATATTCTCAGAAAGGTTAAAATTCCGCAGCACTTTGCAAGTCACTCCGAGATTCGGGTCGAATTCGCATTGTTTTTAATTTAATCAGTAAGAGGAGGCAGTTGGTTTGAATTCATCAGTCAAAAGAAATATGCAGTTTGGAATTACAGTGCCTGGCAAAAGAATCAGTGAAAAAGGGAATGCGCTTGATCAGTTTATTTTGGTTAACTGTTGCTTTGCTTTGGATATTGGATAGGACAGGTTTAATTGATCAACGTGCTAAAGTATTGTTTATTTAAATTATTTATTATTCTAAATTAAGTGATTGAAATTTATTTTTTCAATTATTTTAATTCAAAGAGTTTTAAATAAATAAATAAACAATAAAGAAAGAGAATTAGAATTAGTTGGATAATAAAGATTTTTATTGATATTTAAATTATTTGTACAAATATTGTTTATAATTTAAATTACAAACAATAGTTTACATTAATTTAAATATTAAATAAAAAGGAAACTATCCTATTTTTCTAATTCTTCAGTCTTCATTTAGTACCCCTCCATCCATTTTTATCTGCAAAAGAAGAAAAGTCAGTGACTGATAATTAATTAAAGACAGATAAAATTTGCAGTCATCATTAAGGGCCACTGATTGGGATCAGTTAACCCTCTCTGCAAATCACGGGATTTCTCCCGGTTCACAAAGAGGGAAGAATTTTATCATAAATGCAAAATGTCAAAATGCATATTTTTAAAATGTCAAACTGCATGGTTCAGAAGTAAGTTCAAACCCAACTAAAATCCAAACTCCCACTTTCTATCAAAAGCCAAAGGTACAAACTTACTGTCAAAAATACAAAATCTACCCAAGCTGTCAAAAGAAGATTTGGCAAAGATATGGAAGATATCAAAAAGCACACAAGCTGTCAAGAAGAGATATATATGCAGAAAAAATCTTTTATGCAAGTTCTCTTTTATCATCATTTCCCATCAGATAGCCCTTTCAGAAAAATAGTACAGAAAAGAATCATATTATAATATCCAACTGTACTATAGAGAGAGAAAAAGAAGAGATAGAGGCAGGTTTTCAGGCTTAGGTAGAAAAGGCAGGGCATAAACAAAGATATAACACAAGAACAAACA